TGACAGAAACGGTTCTTTTTCAAGAACAGCCCTAATCAGAGGCTTGCCCAAGGTCATCCAGCCAGGTGCAAGTGGAGGAGGAGGAGATTGGATTTATACCCCGCCCTTCACTACCCGAAGGTGTCTCAGAGCGGCTTACAAACTCCTTTCCCTCCCCCTCCCCACGACAGACACCCTGTGAGGTTGGTGGGGCTGAGAGAGCTCTTGACAGAAAGGGCTCTTTTTCAAGAACAGCTCTTATCAGAACTACGGCTTGCCCACGGTCATTCAGCTGGCTGCATGTGGAGGAGGAGTGGGGAATCAAACCCGGCTCTCCCAGATGAGAGTCCGCACACTTAACCACGACACCAAACTGGCTCAGTGGGGCAGAGAGACGGTGGGGTACCGTTGTTAAGAGCAGGGTCTGGGAGAGAGATCGAGAGGGGTTCCCCGTGTCATTCCGCCTGCAGCCGTAGGAAAGAGCCGGCGTCCAGGAACGGCACCTGGGTGGGCCCCCTCTCCAAAGCCGCGGCTCCTTTCCTCCAGGGCAGGGGTGGCCAAACGTGTTTAATGTAAGAGCCACATAGAATAAACGTCAGATGTCTGAGAGCCGCAGGACAAATATTACACACACACGTTTTTCTTAACATTCAATTAGGACTGCCGAAAATAAAAACAGATATTGATAATGATATTTATTTGTCCTGTGACATTTATTTGTTTGCTAATCATATCTGTTTGTCTAAGAGAGAGAGAGAGAAAGAGGGAGGTGGAAAGAAGGAATGAAAGAGGTGGAAAGAAAGAATGAAAGAGGTGGAAAGAGAGAAACAAAGAAAGCAAATAGATGGGGAAGTGAGGGGGGGAAAGGAAGGAAAAGAGAGAGAAAGAAAAGAAAGAAGAGAGAAAGAGAAAGAAAGGTGGAAAGAACAGTAGCTGGGGAAGGGAAGACCGATCGGGGAGGCAGGCCCTCCCCTTCGCTTCCCCAGCTGCCCTGCCGGGAGCCACACAATATGTATGAAAGAAGAAGAAGAAGAGGAAGAAGAGATTGGATTTATACCCCATGGCCCTTCACTACCCAAGGGAGTCTCAGAGCGGCTTACAAACTCCTTTCCCTTCCCCTCCCCACAACAGACACCCTGTGAGGCAGGTGGGGCTGAGAGAGCTCTTGACAGAAACTGCTCTTTTTCAAGAACAAGAACAGCTGTGCCAGAGCTTGTGACTGACCCAAGGTCACATCAGCAGGTGCAAGTGGAGGAGTGGGGGAATCAAACCTGGTTCTCCCAGATTAGAGTCCGCGCACTTAACCAATACACCAAACTGGCCCGAGCCACAGTTTGGCCCCCCCTGCTCCAGGGGAACGGACCTCTGTCGCCCGGAGAGGTGTTCTCACCCCGGGAGGCCTCCAGGCCCCGCCTGGAGGCTGGCAACCCTCGCCTCCGCGCCAGGTTCCCACGGCCTGCTCCTCTTCGGGAGGCTGGCTCTTGGCCTCCTCGGACCCGTGGGAGCGTCTAGAGGAAGCGAGTGCCAGGAAGAGCTCCGGCCCTGTGGCCAAGGCGATTCCCCCTCCCCGTCCGAGGGAGGGGGGCGGTGTCTGTTGGGCGGGGCCTCCCCCCACCTCGCTGGTCCCTCCCCCCCCTCTCCTGGCACCCGGCAGCGCTTCCTGATCCTTGCCGGCTCCTCCTCCGCCTGCAGCTCTTCGGAGCGCCTCCGCCTGTCCCCGTGGCTTCTTAGTCACTTCGGCTGCTGCAGGAGGGCTCGCTTCGGTGCTCAGGAGGGCTGATCCCTTTTGGCTCTGCTGCACTCTGGCACCGGCGCCCGGCTGCGAGGCAGGCGCCAGTGTTCCCTCTCAGCTGAGTGAGTGTGAGTTAGCTCTCCGTTTCTTAGCCTCCAGCTCACACATTTTTGTGTCTCAGTACAGGGAGGATGTGGCTCCAGAGCAGATTAATTGATGCAGCGGCCCAATTGCTCGCTCACAACTTTCATGCCAGGAGCTCACAAAGCAGAATTTTTGCTCACAGGGCTCCACAGCTTAGAGGGAACATTGGCAGGCACCCCTTCCCGGCCTGGGATCTCGGGAGCGGCTGCTTGGGCCTGCCGCAGACCCGTGGCCAGGATTTCTTAAAGTCGGGGGACATCTAAATGTCTTAGGGGGGCTCGGGCCAGTGTTCCCTCTAAGCGGAGTTAGCGTGAGCCAGCTCACAGTTTTTTAGCCTCCGGCTCACACATTTTTGCCTTGGCTCAGGAAGGGAGGGCTCCAGAGCAAACTGATTGATGCAGCCGCCAAATCGCTCGCTCACAACTTGAATGCCCAGTAGGTCGTAAAATAGAATTTTTGCTCACCAGACTCCACAGCTTGGAGGGAACATTGGCTCTGGCTAATCGAAAGGCAATATGCTTCGGGAACAGAGAGTGTTCCCTCTAAGCTGAGTGAGTGAGAGCCAGCTCACGGTTTCTTTAGCCTCTGGCTCACGCATTTTCCTCTCCGCTCAGGAAGTAGGGCTCCAGAGCAAACTAATCGATGCAGCAGCCAAATCGCTCACTCACCACTTGAATGCCAGGAGCTCACAAAGGAGAATTTTTCCTCACAGGACTCCACAGCGTAGAAGGAGCATTGGTGCTGTTTGGCTCCCTATGGCCACCATAGCTGGCCCTTCATGCCAGACAGCTGCGTAGGAATACTCGGCTCCTTCCCCGCACCCGTCGCTGCTCATAAGAACATAAGAGAAGCCAGTGTTGGATCAGGCCAGTGGCCCATCCAGTCCAACACTCTATCACACAGTGGCCAGAAATACCAGGTGCCGTGAGGAGGTCCAGCAGTGGGGCCAGGACACTAGGAGCCCTCCCACTGTCTTCCCCCCACCCCCACCCAAGCACCAAGAAGACAGAGCATCCCTGGCCCCAGACCCAGAGTTCCTATCTATACTTCAAGAACATAAAAGAAGCCAGTGTTGGATCAGGCCAAAGGCCCATCTGGTCCAACACTCTGTGTCACACAGTGGCCAAAAAGTACCAGGTGCCATCAGGAGGTCCAGCAGTGGGGCCAGGGCACTAGAAGCCCTCCCACTGTTGCCCCCCCCCCAAGTACCAAGAAGACAGAGCATCCCTTGCCCCAGACATAAGAACATAAGAAAAGCCAATGCTGGATCAGGCCAATGGCCCCTCCAGTCCAACACTCTGTCACACGGTGGCCAGAAATACCAGGTGCCATCAGGAGGTCCAGCAGTGGGGCCAGGACACTAGAAGCCCTCCCACTGTTGATCCCCCCCCCAAGTACCAAGAAGACAGAGCATCCTTTGCCCCAGACCGAGAATTACTATCTATTCCTTAAGAACATAAGAGAAGCCAATGTTGGGTTAGGCCAAAGGCCCCTCCAGTCCAACACTCTGTGTCACACGGTGGCCAGAAAGACCAGGTGCCACCAGGAGGTCCAGCAGTGGAGCCAGGACACTAGGAGTCCTCCCACTGTTGCCCCCTCCCCAAGCACCAAGAAGACAGAGCATCCCTTGCCCCAGACATAAGAACATAAGAGAAGCCAGTGCTGCATCAGGCCAATGGCCCCTCCAGTCCAACACTCTGTGTCACACAGTGGCCAAAAATACCAGGTGCCAACATGAGGTCCAGCAGTAGGGCCAGGATGCTAGGAGCCCTCCCACTGTTGTCCCCCCCCCCAAGTACCAAGAATACAGAGCATTCCTTGCGCCAGCCTTCCTATCTATACCTTGTGGTTAATAGCCATTGATGGACCTCTGCTCTGTATGTATCCAATTCCCTTTTGAAGCCATCCATGCTTGTAGCCACCACTACCTCCTGTGGCAGTGAATTCCACATGTGGATCACTCTTTGGGTGAAGAAGGACTTCCTTTTATCCGTTCTAACCCGACCACTCAGCAATTTCATTGAGTGCCCACGAGTCCTTGTCTTGCGAGAAAGAGAGCAAAGTACCTCTTTCTCAACCTGCTCTATCCCACGCATCATCTTGTAAACCTCGATCGTGTCACCCCTCAGCCGTCGTTTCTCCAGGCTAAAGAGCCCCAAGCGCTTTAACCTTTCCTCACAGGGAAAGCGTTCCAACCCTTTGATCATTCTGGTTGCCCTTTTCTGGCTGGCTGGCTGGGAAACCATGGGGCCCTGGGAGTAAGTCTTTGGGTCGTGACAGGTGGGGTATAAATCCAATCTCCTCTTCCTCCTCCTCTTCTTCCTTCCCTGAATCCGCCACCACTTGGGGGCCCTGGGCTGAATGGGAAGTAGGGGGGGCCTTGCGAGTAAGTCAGGGGCCTAGCCCCAAGTCGCCCCACTATAACTATGGGCCCGGCCCAGGGGGGACCTGGCCACCCTAATCAGAGTCCCTGCCTTGCCCCAACATGCCCCACTGTAGCCACAGGTCTGGCCTGCAGCTCGGGGGGAGGGGGGCTTGGACCTGACACCGCATTTCACTGTTCGCACGAGACAAGGCGGGTTTCAAGACCTGAAGGGGAGGGTGTTCTGAAGCACTTCCTTCCGGTGTGGCAACCTAATCCATACACCCCCTAATCCATACACCTTCCCCGGCCTTCTCCCCTCTGGTGGCTCCCAACTTCTGTCAGGGCTTTTCGGCACACAAGGAGCTTGGCAGGTGGGAGCCTCCGTGCTTAACCACACGTCTGCAGAGTCAACACGGCCACCCACCTGAGCCCTGCTGTGACCCCGATGGCACTCTAACCCCGACAGAAAGATGCATGGGAGCGATTGCACTCTGCACATGCCCCTGAGCACCGCAGGTCGCGCTCTCTTCCCTCCCCCCCGCCCCCCGCAGGGCGCTGCACCAACCCAAAGGCAGGGAGGGGGGAGGGGCTCCGCCTCTTCCACCGCTCTGGCGAAGCGCCCGACTGCAGCAAGGGAGCAGCACGCATGCGCGCCGGCCCCACCCGGCGCATGCGCACTCTGCGTCCCTGGGCGTCGCGGGAGCCATGCTGACTTTACCCCCGAAGTGAGACCTCGGCGGGGGAGGGGGGGCTTTTTTCCCGTCTTCCCCCCCACAATTCTTCTCTTCGACTATTTTTATTTTCAAGGGGGGGGGAGAGGGACGCGCCCCTCCTCCCTCAAGGGATAATCGTTTTCCCCCCCCCGTTTGGAAAGGCGGAGGGCGTCACGTGACGGCGGAGAACCAATCGGGGAGCGGTGACGTCGCGCGGGTCGGGTTTTTCCCGCCTGGCGACGGCGACTGCTGCGAGGGTTATTTCTTTAAATTTTTTCTTCTTCGAATTTTTGCTTTTTCACCACTCTGGAGTTCTACTTTTGACTTTTCCTTGGGAATCCGCCGAGATGGGGCCCCGTCGGATCAGGGCCTCTAGGCCGGCGCGCCCTCGCCTGTCCGGCAGCCAATGGGGTGAGTGCCTTTTCGTCACGTGACCCGGCCGCGGCGCACGGCCGTGAGTTGGCGTTGGGAAGCGGGGGGAAGGGAGAGCGGGGAAGCCGTCAGTCAAACCGCTCCTCCCGCCTCCTCTGGCGCTGTCCGCCCAATGGGGGGGAAGGAGAGGCGAGCCCGGGCGGTGGCCGCTTAAAGGGCCAGCTGCCTTATGGAAAGGGAAAGGTTGGCTGTCACGTGGCCCCTGACAATGGGGACCCCCATTTTGTGTGTGTGTGCGGTGGGGGGAGGAGGAGCCCCCCCAACCTTCTCTGTGGCACATCCCGGGCTCCTTTAAAGCTACACTGATGCAGATGCTGAGTTTGAAAATGCCTTCTAGGAATTGGGGTAAATCTTAATTTTCCCAGTGGGGCTCTCTGTTGCAATAATTTTTTGGGGTGGGGGTGGGGGGCAATCCTGTCTTCCATCGTGCATTTCTTTGGGAATGTCTGGGCGGGGCTGGGGAGCAGCGGGGTGGCTCATTATTGGAAGGGGGGGAGTCCAGGGGTTCTGCCCCAGGGGTTGGGCGGGTGTCCCCCTGTGACCTTGGGCAGGAGTGAAGAGAGCCAGGCACTCTTCAGGTCGTTGCAGAAAATGCCCTGCAAGAATCCAGACCTGGCTTCATGGGGGGTGGGGGGGGGGATCTGGTGACCTTCGGCCTGGCAGCCTGCCCTTCATTCCCAGCTGGAAGCCGGTCGGACCCCCCTCCCGTGCAGAAAAGCCCAAAAAGAAGGTGGGGATAGAGGAAGGGGGTTCTGATTAGCTCGGGGTAGTTTTTTTTTGGGGGGGGGGAAGGAATGCCCTTCCTTTTAAAGCAGGCGAGGTCGGCTGTCCCCCCCCCCTTTCCAAGATGGAGGCCGTGAAAAGTGCTGTGTCATGGCCGCCCCAGGCAGGCAGGCAGGCAAGGAAGGCGTGGAGGCCCCCTGGGCGGGGAGCGCTGGCCGGGGCACGAAAGGGAGGCCGGATCCCGGCTCTCCTGCACCCCCCCCTCCCCACCCACTTCTCTGTCTGTCCCCCTCGGCGGGGGCGAGTGGGAGCAGGGTCCGACTTGGCCGGGCAAAATGGCTGCCCAAGAAGGCAGCAGCAGCAGGAGGGCGGGGGCGGGGGCCTGCCTTTGCAGCCCCTGCTGGCTCCCCGAGCCCTTTGGTGCTGGTGGAGGGGGGAGGTCCATGCGGCTCCCCCTTTCCTGCCCTCGGTTTGGGGCCGGGGGGGGGGCGGGCGTCCCCTTCGCTCCAGCACGACCCGGCCTTGTCCTTGCCTCCGAGGCTGCAGGCGGGGGAGGCTCTTGCAGCAGTAGTAGCTGCCATTTTTTTCTTGTTCTTGTTGCAACCTTCGTGTGTAGGGAGGGGGGTCGTTGTTGGCTGCCCCGCTGTGCAAGCCCGGGAGGAGGGCGGGGGGGGGCAGTGTTCCCTCTAAGCTGAGCGAGGGTGAGCCAGCTCACCGTCTTTTAGCTTCCAGCTCAGACATTTTTGTCTCGGCTCAGGAAGGATGGCAGGAGCCAAATGTCTCGCTCGCCACTTTACTGCCAGGAGCTCACGGAGTAGCATTTTTGCTCACAAAACCCCACAGCTTAGAGGGAACATTGGTGGGGTGGTCTCTTGCACCCCTTTTTGCTTCCAGTCTGGCATAGAGAGAGAGAGAGAGAGATGACCCCTATCCCCTGGGCTGCAAGGGGGAACCCAGGATTTCTGGGCTGGGGTCACAGCTCTCTCTCTCTCTCTTTCTGCCGGGCTGGCAGCTACAAGGGGGTGCAGGGCACCCCCTCACCCTGAAAGAAGGGGGGCACAGAGCTCCACTACGCCCTCCACAGTGCCCGGGCAGCAGGGGTCAGGTCAGGCCGGGTCCAGCAGCCAGGCCTCCCTCCCGCCGTGTCCAGGGAAGCAGCAGCAGCTCCACTTCTCGTGCCTGGGGTCTGAGTTCGAACGGCGCTTCCACAGGTTCTGAGGAGGGACTGGGCGCGTGCGGGTGGGGTCGTCCCTGACCCCATTTCCAGCCTTGTAGGGGGGAAAGAACTCTTGCATAGCGGTGTGTTTGTTGAGGGTGGGAGAAGAATCCTCTACGGTTGCGAGGGCTCGGCCTGGCCTTTTTCCCCTGGCTCTTTCGTTCGGGCCCGCTTGGCATCGTCGTGGGGAAAGGCCGAGAGAAGCGCCGCTTTTCTGACAGGATTTGCGCTGGGGGGGGGGTTGTCGCGGGCGTTTGCGGCGGGGCCGGGAAGGCGCGTCGGCGGATTCCGACGGGAAGAGTCTTTTTTCGTGGGGCTTTTTCCGTCAGGACGGATTTGGGAGTTTCTGTGAGGCGGAGGGGACTCAGGGGCGTTGTCGGGGACCGCTCCAGGGTGAGGGGCGGCCGCGGTTCTGAGGGGGGGCCTTTGTGTGGTGTTTTGGCGGGAACGTGAATCTGAGGGGAATTGTTCGCTTTTTCGGTCAGTTTTTGGCTTCTCGCGGCCCCCCTGGGGGCTTCCGGGCGAGATACGGGTAGTTTTGGGGGATCGCTTCGCCGGGCGAGACGCCGCTTAACGTCCCACCGGCTCCGCGCCCTGCTTCTTCTCTTTTTTCGCAGCCACAAAATGGCGCCGCTCCCTCTCCCTTCCCCCTCCCTCGCGGCGCACAGAGAACCAACAACAACCAACGAACGCTCCCCAACCGCCGCCCCGCCCCCCGCGCGACAGGCCGGCCAATCGAGCGGCAACGAATGGCAAGGGCGGCCAATGGCGGAGGCCCCCGGCGGGGACCGCCGGCCGGGACAGCACAACGGGAGGCGGAAGCGAGAGGCGTGACGGACGGCGGGTTCCGCCAATCGCCGGGCGGCGTGTCCGCGCGCCCCGCCCGGGGGTTCCTGCCGAGCCGGCAAAGGGGCGTGCCCGGGCGGGGCGGTGATGTCAGCGCCTCTCGCGGCCAATCTGCGCCGGGCTGGCGTCTATATAAGGGCGGTCGGGGGCAGGCCGAGAGGCGCCATTTCGCTGGAGCGGAGGACGGCTTCTGGCCGGCGAGCGGAGCGGTCGCGCGCGCGCCTGCCTGAGCGAGAGCGGACGCGGGTGGGCGGACTCAATCCGGCTCCATCCTCGCCGGACGGCCCCCCATTCGCCGCGACCCGCGAGTCGGCGGATCCCCCTCCGGGCCTCCGTAGCGCCGCCCGCCCAGCCTATTGCGAGAGCCGCGGCCAGTTGCCCCAGTACAATCCAGTGGCATCCGCCGCCCAGACCGTGACGATCCGTCCGGGGACCGGCGCCTCCCGACGCGGCAGGCTTCGACCGTCCCGCCGAGCCCGATATTGCCGGCCTCCCCGCGCGGGGACCGGCCCCGCCGGCCGCTCGACAGAAGGTCCCCCCCCCCTCCTTTTACACCGCCGCCCGGCTCTCTGCCTGCCTGCCTGGATCTCTCCCAGGCCGCCATTT